CTCTGATTGTTTTCCTTCAGGGTGTCATGATGACATGGACAGACGGGTGTCTATGATCAGCCTGGCCCAGGATCAAGTCAAGGTTGGCAGCAAGACTGCTCTAAACCGAAGGGTAACACACACACACAGTCGTGTTTTCGTATCTTGTGGGGATTTTACATTGACCTCCATTCATGTTCTTCATCCTAACCCTTCCTCTAACTGTCACATCCTTACCCTGAACAAAAGTTAATCCACACCTTGGCCCTAAACCTGACCCCTGACCCAAAAGTAGCATTTCCCCTCATGGAGACCAAGTAGCTGCGATCCCCACATTGTAGACAGAAACGGGTCCCCACAAGGATATAAAAACCTGGCTCACACGCACACGGCTACATGGCCTATTTGTTAAATTATACTAAATAATAAAAAAGGGAAACAAAGGTATTTGAAGTGAACTCTTGCTTGTTTTCAGGCTCAGGAGGAGTTGAAGTGACGTTTGCTTCATTTTAATTGTTAAAGTTGAACATTTAGGATGAGTCTATGGCCTATACAAAACATGCCCATTACATTTTTTGGCACAAAATCTTTCTTAGATAATGAGATTTTAGTCAGAATTGAACGTTTTAGGGTGTCTTGTAACTTTAAGTCTAAGTAAGCTGCACCCCCGACCCCATCAGCCTGACGGAGCTTAACTAAGCAACTGGTGATGGTGGGAGGCATAATTACACACCACACTTTTAAGATTTTTGTTGCTAAAAAAATGATGAAAACCACGACTTTGTGTGAAGTTAACCCCTTAAGTACTATTAAAACACTAATGTTTTTTCAAACTGCTCTTGGTTTTATTGGACGTATTGATATAAAAATGACTGTAGTTGTTTTTGCCTCCTTCTGAACTCACTGGTCAGGAAACGCAGCTCTATCTGCTCCGTTTCCTGCCTGAGGCGGGGGGTAGCGAAGGCGTGGTGTTGGCTGGCCGGAGGACGGAGGGGACAACATGGACGAGGCGCTCGGTGTGCGGCCAGGTCCTGGTGTAATTGATGTAATGGCTGTTTATCCTTCCTGCTGTGTTGCCACAGCCTAATGACAAGGCCTAGCAGCGGTGGGTCCCTGTGACAAAACACTGGCACCAGGTCTGCTGGCAGGAGGCTAAGTGACTCTGCTGCTTTAGCTGATGCTGCCCTCCCTCCTGTGAGCCTTCCTCCCCCATCCTCGCTGCTCCCTGTTTGTTTGGTCGTTATCTAGAACATCGTCACTATTGGCTCTTTGTCTCAGTGTAGAAATCAGCATCTTAGCAGGAGGAAGCCTTTCCTTCAAGTAAGCAAGTAAAAAATGAAACTTATTCACTTATTGCAGCTTTTCCACTTGTAGATAACATTACTGCTTATTATATTTATAGCGAATGCAGTGGTAGCAACTGTAGCTAAAGAGTTAATTTTACTAACTCTTTAGCTACAGTTGCTACCACTGAACTGATCAGAATCATTAGTTGTGCTAACACTAAAGTGCTAAAGTGGCATTTAGTGGAAGCTAATGCTAACGTGCTAATTTCAGCCATTTTGATGGCCACCATGTGTCAGTTATACAACATTTGTTAAATCGCCCCAAAGGCCCAAATTTCGCCCGTCATCCCAGTTTCTCTTCAGGAAGAGATCCTTAAAGCAGATATTTTGTGGTTTCAGTTTGTAGCTGTTGAGTTTTGCTAACTGCCTGATTAAACCTCTATAGGACTTCAGTCAGGGCAGGACTCAGTGGATTTCAAACTGTTTACGGTGCAGTGATGCATTCTGGGTACAGAATAAACATCATTTGCTGCACAGCATCAAGTGTGCATCAACACAGATATCAAACTTTATTCCACTGAATGTTCACAAAACAGCAAAGTAGATAAGTGCTTTAGGATGTATCCAGGAAAAGGTCATTTAGGGGAAGCTAAAATGCTAAAGCGCAAAGCTAAAAATTAGCTCTGTCATTAGCAGACTAGTGAAAATGTGCACTGCACATTTTCTGTGTGCAAACCTGCTGCTTCTTCTTTTCAAATCACAAAAATAAGTAAACCTGTTCCGCGAACCGAGGCACACGCTGCTGCCCGTACGGTTAGCCGCTCTGACCTAGCGGTGGCCATATGCTGCGCCGCTCTGAGAAAGGTCATGGGACTGGTGTTAGAACTTCAAAGTGAACCAAAAGGCTGGCGCTGGCTCTGGACCACAACAGCTGTCTGGTTTCAACACAGATGTCTGCTGTGGATCTGTGTCAGGACCAAGCCTGTGTGTCGTGACTCTTCTCCAGCGGTCAGTGGTTCGTAAATTAATGGATGGATCTTTATTGTACCAACTGGGAGATTCTGTTCAAACCTGTGTCCACTGGGTTAGCATTGCAGCCATCTTCAGTTTGTTTCCAGCATTTTGTGTCGTGTTTGACTAAAATTTAAACTGGTTTGATGATTTGAAACACTGTCTATTTCAAAACACACTTTATCATGGAATGTCTCAGGCCCTCAGCATCATAATGCCACCACCTTGGTTTTGGAGGAGATAAACTGAACTAACTTCAGGTTTTGGGGCTGAACCATTTCATGTTTGGTAATTATTCCCTTTGGTTTGGATGCAGTGCAGCTGGAAGGATTTACACTCTTACTTTTTTGCTTACAGACGGTTATAGTGCGTAACTGTGGCAACAAGGTGTCGCATCTGGAAAGTTCAATAATACCTGAACTTTGACCTAGAGGAGCTGAGAAGGAGGCTGCAGAGCAGTACCAAAGAGCAGATTGTATCCCCTACCCCAACGTCTCCCCGGCTTTCTAAACATTGACAGGTTTTCATAGAGTAACTGATCTAAAAATGTCGTTCTGACCACACCCCCTTCGCTCATACCCACATGTGACCACGCCCCTCAGTCTCTTGACTCCGCCCATTTTGGTTAAACTTTTTAACATTTTTGAAAGCAGATATTAGCAGAGCTTGCTAGCAACTGATGTTGTTATCCAGGACATGTTTCTGTGGAATATCTTTACATTGATCTTTAGCTGTTAGCATGTCATGCTGTCACACAGCAGCATTCTTCAGTCAGAGGCCTCTCCAAATGTGTTGCGAGACTGACTGCTAGTGGAGATTCTTCCTCCCCATAGCATCACCGTCCACGATTGTTTTAAGATAATCGGACAATATTTAATAGATTTAAATTTTTAATTGAATTTGATCTGAGAAACGATGAGTCTGTTTGTTCTGAAAACACTCTGTGAACCGGAAACACTTGTTCTGTTGCGGTTTGGTCCAGGACACGTACCGGCGGCGGCAGATGCAGAGGACCATGACCAGGCAGATGTCGTTCGACCTGACCAAGCTGCTGGTGACGGAGGACTGGTTCTGTGACATCAGCCCCCAGACCATGAGGCGGCTGCTCAACATCGTCTCCATCACAGGTCAGGCAGCAGAAACGAGCAACTCTAATATCTTAGTTTATTTATCCACAACTCAGACACCATAGAATATATACTATTTGACATGACAGGGTATTAGGAGCCATGGTAAGAAAATTTAAGAAAGAAAATTACAAGAATAAAGTCAAAATAATATCACAATAAAGTTTTATTTTATTAATATATTATGATTATGATGATGTTTTTATTTAGCAAATAAATTTTATTACTAAATAAAATTTAGTACATTTTATTTTAGTAAAATAAAACTATTGTTTTAGTAAAATAAAACTACTATTTTAGTAATATTACAGCTTTATCCTGATATCACTTAAACTTTTTGTAATATTTTGACCTTATACTCATAATAATGTGACTTTATTCTTGTATTATTATGACTTTATAATCTCTGATCTGCGTCATTTTTAATGTCACAAGCCGAAAACTTTGGGGAACGATACGCTACTGAAAGGATGCAAAACGAAAAGCGATGACGTGGAAATCAAACTCATCCTTCAAAAAGCAGCTAATTGATGCTAGCGCTACTAGAACAGATGAATATTATTGATCTAAAGACAGGAAGTTTTAATATTCAGCTCAAAAAGCATCGATCTGAAGTTTATCTGTTTGTAAAAACCCCAAACGGTAAATGTTAGAGGTTAGATGAAATGCATATCAGAGTGAACGGTGACCTTTGACCCGACGCGGACAGGTCGCCTGCTGCGCGCCCATCAGATCCTCTTTAGCTGGGACCGCCTGGCGTCGTGGATCCACCTGACGGAGGAGTGGCCGTACAGAACGTCGTGGATCATCCTGTTCCTGGAGGAGGCCGAGGCCGTGTCGGATCAGGTCACACTCAAGACCATCTACGAGAGGTAACTCAACCGGCTCGGTTTTACAGTACAGCTGAAAAATACTATGTCTTATCAGGCGGTGGGAAATTTTATTGAAGTTAATTACGAGATTTATATTCAATAATGATTCAGTTCAATTCAGAAACATTTTTTGCTGCAAAATAAATTGCCATATAAACTCAACAAAAACATTTTTTATTGTTTTTAATCTGTTTAAATCGTAATATAAAGATGTTCTCTTAATTTTATGACTTTATTATGGTGATATTGCGACTTCATTGTCTTATTGCTACGACTCCTTTTAGCACAACTTGAACACAACAACAGGTTTTTCCAGCATCCAATCAAATCGATTAGAAGCAGAAATTAAACCCAGTGGGAAGAAAGAAGCGACTTTATTGCTGCTGTTTAAAGATGTGCGTCAGATTTACAGGCGTACCAGAAATGCAACACAATAGATCCAGCCTGAGTCTGTACAACAAAAAAATGTGATTAATCGCCACAAATTCAAAATGTTTATAGGGATTTATGAGATAAATCAGAGCAAAGAGGTGAGTGTTTGAAGTGGGAGGAGAATAATGCATGGTGTTTAGTTTCTTTTGTGTCTTTAAGAATATAAAATCTAAAAAAGTGAGGCAATTTTTTTATTTTCAGTTAGAAAATGAGCAGATTTATTTTTTCTTTTATTGATTTTTGTTTAATATTTGAAACCCCAATGGAAAACATTTGAGTTTGTGGCTGAAATGTTAAACTTTCCAAGGTTTTTCTGCTTCTTTTTTTATTTTTCCTCTTTTGCTGAATTCCACCAGTAATCCAGTAAATTTAGTGTGAAATCATAATCCAGTCTGATTTCTTGTTGGTGAATGCAACCAGCAGGTGGCAGTAGTGGACCTTGTTTTCACTCCTCGTTGCCTTTAGTCAGAAGGTCTCTGCTAATTGGCAGCTTCTGTAATTGATCACATTGTTTAAGGCAACATTTAAGGAATGTGGAGGAATAACTCTGTGCACATGCTCAGTTCGACTTCCTGTTCCTGCGAGGTCAGCGGGGCTTTTTTAGGCCGGCCGGCTGCGGACGGGGGGAGCCTGAGTCTCTGGGTTTAGGAGCTGCTGTGCATCAATCTCTGGCCTTTAAAGGTCGCACTCTGTCACAATACACTAGCGCCCACGACTCCTGCGGCGGGGATGTGTCACAGACCGTTACTGTCAGCGCCGCTCCATCCCCCCGCCTCCAGCCAACGCCGCAGCCTCATTACAAATGAGTTTCATCCGCAGAAACACAGATTTCACATTAAACTCTGGAATATCTGAATCTGAGCGAGATTTGTAGCTGCAGCGGCGCGCTTTCTGCACAACAAGAGTCCGGTTTGTGTTTATCTCCGTCTGTTCGGCTGTGGAAGGAGCTGACTTAATGATGATGACAGGAAATCTCAAACAGGCTAAACACAACGCCTTGTCTGCTGGCGTTATCTCCAGCAGCGATCTTCCGCTGATAAGACTCAGGCTTCTGTCCGAGGAGCTTTTTATGTCTCTTCCTCTTTCTGCTCACACTCTGGATCACTTTCAGTCACTTTTCTCCTCTTCCTGTCGCCAAATTACATCTAAACAAATTCACTGCTGTAATTTTGTTTTAAAATGCTTGTTTTGTGTCCTGAGTGTAATGTTTTCACCGTTTCTAGCAGCAGCACCCCCCCTGAGCGCTACTAAGTGAATATATTAGTGGTGAAGTGAACGCGGGGGTGAGTCAGCCCCCTTATAGGTCAACTGTCGCCCTGCATCTCAGTCACAAGGCAACACGCTCCTCTCTCCTCCTTCCAGATCTTACTGCTCAGCTGCACCCACATTACAAGAAACATGTTTCACTTCTCATCTGAAAACGGATAAATAACGACTTTATTACAGCCGGTTTGATCGTTTTGTGAGTTTCTTCAGCTGTTTTTCAGTGTGATCCATCCAGAAACATTTTTCCACCAGGATTTCTGACCACACAAGGCAATAAGAACGCAGAGCGAAATCCCATCCTGGGAGCAGGTCCGTACAGCCTCCCTAATCTGATGGAGAATGTGTAATCTGTTTTTAACCTGAGTGATTTCTCTCAGTAATGGTACGACTGTTGGACACTGTCCAGAGAAACTGGAGGCAGCGAAGGGAAACGGCTTCTTCCAGTCTGGAAAAACACTTAAATTATTTTAAACAGGAGGTATTATGTGTTTTTCAGGCACAAAATACCATTTTACAGCATAACATTTTTTATAAAAATGCTACATTTATCAAATACGGCTTAAAAGAAATTTGACTTCCTGATTTAACGCCTTAAAATGGGCCTCTGTGTCTTTAAGAAGCTCCGCCTCCAGGAAGTTGTCCCAACATGGCTCCTGTGTTAACCCTCTGACAGCGTTTTATCAGAGATGCTGAGAAGTGTCTCCTATAATGACCTAATTGCTGCTGGCTAGTCTGAAGGAGCTCAGTGGGGGAGGAGCTACAGATCAGAGGCGGGGCTAGGTCCAACCAGGCTATTTGAATGGTTGCCATGGAGATTAAAGGATTTCTCAAACATGAAAGAATGAAAGCAACACTCCAGGTTTGTTTTTGATGAACCAATAACATAATAACATGATTTAAAGCTAAAAATAAGTAAATTTTATATCATACTGCCCCGTTAAGGTCATAAACTTTCTTTGAAAATGTAGCGTAGCGCACAATTCAAGCAAAAAGATTCGACTCCACAGAGTCTGACAGGATTTAATATCATGTTTTAGGATATTTAATATTTTCAACGGGTTGGCCTAATTAAATCCTGATTAGGACTCCACTCAGTTTGTGTTTCCGGGAGAGGAGTCATCATGAGGGTCTGATCAACCAATCAGAAGCGGATTTATGGATAATGGGATTTGCATACTTACTGTAGCCAAAATACTGTCATTATCGGAGCTTTAAATATAATTATTCCTCTGAATACCTCAAATAATCAATATAACTAACCACTGATTACGTAAAGCTTTCTTAATTTCTAAAAGATGAATCATAAAGAGCTGTGTCATATATTTACAGCCATTTAGAAAATGCTTGTTTTGAGCATAAATGGGTGAAATCTGTTCATTTGCCAGAGAAATGAACCATTTTTCCCGTTTTGTAGATGGTAATTAAAGTGAAGCACTCAAAGCATCACCGTCCTGGATTTTTATTGCTTTCCTCTCATGCTCGTCTCTTCTGAAGAGTCGGTTTTGCTTTATTTCAGCAGCCATTGGACGACTAATGGCCTTAGCTAACAGCTCTTTGCTCTTTATGGGTATTGATTTTGCCATTCCCAAAGACCGTTAACTGCGATCGTCTCTTATCCTTGTTTGGTTGATGTTGTTTAGAGTCGTTGCATCAGTTTATTAGCGACTCTTCTGTAGAGGAACGTGAGGAGAACACATTAAAGATGCTGCCTTTTAAAACAATCTGCCTCTTTACGTTCATCTACAGCAAAAAGTAAACGGTGCAAAAATATACAAACCTCTTAACATTCAGCATTTTGTTATATTAAAACTACAAACTTCCAGGTGTTGAAAGGTCTTTCCAAATAGAAATTATAAATGTGGATTGGATGGAGCACTTCTGGTAATGTGCTAATAGCTAAGCTATTATTTTTTGTTTAGTGCTTTAGCATTTATGCTAACTTTGAGAACATTTAGATCTTCCAGAAGGTTATAAAATGATGATTTGCGTGTTTTTTTGGAAACTCATCTGAATAAAGTTCAACTTTTGTGTTGAAGTTTTGATTATTGACTATGGACGTTTATGTTTGTGCTCTTATTTTGAAGTCTGTTTACTCAGCAGTTCCATTTCCTTTCCTTGCTTTCTCTCATTGTTTCCCCAAGAACTTTATTTCAAATAAAAAAACGTACAGAAACAAAATAAGACACTGACAGTAGAGAACAAGATATAAACATAAACCTTCATAATTTCAGGTTATTATAGAATATGTAAATTAGCCCCCAACCAAAATCAATCGATCAGAGCCAGGAGGCGGGTTTTAGCATTGGCACATTTACTCGCTGCTAAATGTGCCAACGGTGGAGAAACAAGTTACTGTTACAAAACTACTGTTTGTTGGTGGCCATGCTAACTAGCTTTAGCATTCAGGAAAGGCTGTGATAGCAGAGAACAAAGGGGGGTTGATTGACAGCGCTAAGACCCGCCTCCTGACCCTGATTGGTTGTTTCTAGTTGGCACTGGGAGACGGTAGAGGAGCAGATTAATTGTCTCAAATATGTAAAAATATGCATTTTTATAAAAGTTACATACTGCAGCTTTAGGGATTCTGAAGTAGAAACTGTTTAAATTAATTTGCCATTTTGAGTTTGTCACTTGGAGTTCTGATAAAACGTGTAAATTAAAATCAGCAGATAAAACACATAATTAAGTAACACTTTGAAAAGTTAATCTGTTTCTGTGTCCGGTTCCGAGTGGAACCATTTGGACCTGGCGATGTGCGAGGGCGGGTTTAGTCAGACTGTCTGTGGGAGTTTATTCCTGGAAGCCCAGATCCAAATTCAGCCCTAGAAAAAGTGTCACTGGTCCGCTGAGCAGGTTCCTGCGCCGCTCTGACATCTGGTGCCCTGTCCGTGCCAGGATGCCCCTGCTGCACTGCGGACGGCGGCTCTGGTGCCTCCCGCTCAGCACACACCCACGCCTTCACACACACACACACACACACACACACACACACACCAGCAGACGCCACACACTCATACCTGAAGCCGCGCCTTCCTCTTGAGTCCGAAGCTCAGCGCTAACTGTGCTACTTTGTTACGTTTTACACTCATGCGAATGAGCTCTTGCAGCATATGTCGCCTCCAACTCCTCAGAGAGTCGGAGTAATTAATCAGAGCCGAGATGCGGGCCGCGTTCAGCAAACACACCGATTCTCATGGAGCGGTTAGCAGAACAAGCTTGGAGTTGTTTCCATCTAAAAATCGGCTCTGCTGGCCCAAAACAACGATCAGACCTAAAAACTCTGAAAACTGACTGAATATGAA